GACGCTCAACTTCCCGAGGCTGACTTGAGACCCTAACCTCCACATGTTTTTCTAATTGAATCTCCTCTGGAGTCAGTGGGGACAGGGGCTGCTTGGAGGGACACTGACTCGGGAGCTCAGTGTGCAGACTTAGGGCTCTGGACACCTTCAGAGTTTCCAGGGAACCTCATGGGCAGGCCCTTAGAGATGCCTCCTTTCAGCACCACACTGCCTCTGAGGCGGTGGCACCTGGCCTGAAGATAAATGTCTCAATGAGGGCTCAGGAGAACCCTGGAGTGTCACTGGCATGGCTAAGGTATGAGGCTCCTCCTACCACAATCTGGATTTGACACACGTCTCGGCCCCTCCTTCCACTGTTCCCTGGAACCCCTGGCATCCAGGATGCAGGCGGCATGCCAGGCTTTGTGGCAGCTGTGCAGCAGCTGCTCGCTGTTCCCCAGCCTGGAATGCCCACTTGCTAGCCTCTGCCAACCCAAACCAGCCGGGAGCCAAGATGCACCATGTGCCCAGCTCTTTCAGCAAGTCTGCAGGACCGCGGAGCCACAAGCACTTCCTACTGTGAGTACTCCAGAAACTCAGGAGATCAATGCTCAGAGGCTGCACAGCACCCAGGGTTGCAGACCCTCGTGCCTGCCTGGGCCTTGGCCAGTGGGTTGCTTACTTTCCTTTTGCTGTGGTAAAATACCACGGCCAGGGAAAGTTATAGGGTACAGAGTCCGTCACGGGAAGGGAAGCTTGTCGGCAGGCTTGGTGACTGGAGCAAGAGGCTGAGAGCTCACATCTTGGGCGGCAGACATGAAGCCCAAGAGCAAAGTCAACATTGTATGACTCTTTAAATCCTCCAGGTCTTCAAACGCCCCAGACTGTGGGCTGCGTTTCTTTGTGGTACTGGCCTCTGTAAGAGACAGGGTAAACTGATGCCTGCCTGGCCATGAGGAGGGTGTGCCCAGCCTCAGTAAGTAGCAACAGCTTGGGTTGCTTCTTGTCACACAGAACTGAGACACAGAAAAAACCACTCCCTTCAGTTTAGTATTGCTGAAAGATGAGAGAGACAGCATGCAAGTCCTTTTCTTTTACCAGAAAGGGGAAAATAACTGTTTGGGGTGTGTGTGTGTGTGTGTGTGTGTGTGTGTGTGTGCGTGCACGCGCGTGCATGTGTGTATTCACACATGTGCAATGATGGAAGCCAAAAGTCAACCTCTGGTGTCCATCTCAGATTGGGGACAGGGTCTATGACAGGATGGAGAAGGACCCAGGAGACAAGTTTCTCGGCATGTCTTGGGGGCACTATCTAGGCTATGTTCATTGAGGTGGGAGGGTAGTACCATTCCGTGGGCACGGGTCAAAACAAACCGTTTCTCCCTCAAGTTGTGTCTGCTGTGTTTTGTCACAGCAACAAGAAAGGCAATTAACACAAGGTCTCGCACTGAGCCTGGAACTCACAACTTAAGCTAGACTGGGTGACCAATGAGCCCCAGGGATCCACCTGGCATCACCTCCTCCATGTTGAGATTTAGAACTCATGCCATCATGAGTGACTTTTTATATTGAACTGGGGGCTCGAACTTAGGTCCTCATGCTTGCTTATCAAGCACCTTATCAACTGATCTACTCATTCAGCCCCACCCTTTTCTCATAATGAGCATCTATTGAGTGCCTGTTGCATGCAATACATGGTCAACCCACAGAAGCATAGAGATTCTATAGGACAGCCATCTCACACCCATCTCAGATCATTGTGGCTAGAACCCGGACCCCAAGGCACAGAATGAATATTGAATGAAGACCCGGATGACCCCAAAGCTGCGGTCACTAAAGGGATAGGATGGGCCTCCAGACAAGAAAGTTGGATGTGAAAGTTCATGGGTTCTGTACATCTGTCCGTCACAGAGGCACTGTGGGTACAGGAGGTGGGGGTGTGGGCTCCAGCGTGAGAGGCACTGAGATCAGAGGACACAACGGAGGCTAGCTTCCATCTTGATCCAGCACAGGGGTCACAGAATGCTTCCAGACACCCTCAGAGACTCCACAGTGCTGGAAGCAGGAGCCTAAGACCCTGCAGGAGCCGGGAAAGGGGTCTCTGCTGGAGTTCGGACGCCTTTGCATTTGGTGTTCAAGTGTAGACCAGCTGCGTCTGCTGGCCACACAAGGGAAAAGCTGACTACAGGGGCATTTCTGCCATCTCATTTCAGCATCTCCTCCTTGACATGTCCTTACTGGAACAAACCAGCCGTGATGGGGATGTCCTTCTGTACATATGTTTCTCTTATTGGTTGATGAATAAAACACTGTTGGGCCAATGGCCAATGAGGCAGGAAGATAGGCGGAACTAAGAGAGGAGGAAAAGTCTGGGAAAGGTAGGCAGAGGAGCCCGCCAGAACCGCCGTGATGTAGCAGGTAAAGGAGCTGCAGGTCCGGCATTCTCCAGTAAGCCAAGACCACGTGGAACTATATAGATTAGTAGTCGTGGGTTAAAAAAATTTTTTTTGGTTTTTATGAGACAGGGTTTCTCTGTATTGTTTCGGAGGCTATCGGTCCAGCCCGGCCTCGAACTCACAGAGATCCGCCTGCCTCTGCCTCCCGAGTGCTGGGATTAAAGGTGTGCCCCACCACCGCCCGGCCGTTGTGGGTTAAAAATTAAGACAGAGCCAACCAATAAGAAGCCCTAGTCACTGGCCAACAATTTTATAATTAATATAGCATCTGTGCATTCATTTGGGGCTCAAGGCCCGTGGTACCTGCCAGGCCAGAAAGCTACGTTACACAGCAGGACTGTAGATTTTACGTGGTGACCAGTGATGAAAGAAAGAAACTGGAGGTCCCGCCTCGCACAACAGACAACCTCAGGGAAGGGACCTGACCCCAGCAGCTGGCAACAGTAGCTGAGCCTCTATGATAAGAACAAAGAAGATGAATACCAACCATTGCTCATTCTCTACCAGGTACTGAGGACCAACTGAGCGTCAGGACCCTGGAGGCAAACATTACCCTTTGTTTGGTTAAGTAACCTAGGCTACCGTACCAAGGCCCTTGCTTTTCTCTGTTTTCTCCTCTTGCGAGTAGTGAATCTAGGGTTCCCCTATTTGTGGCCAGACTCTAGCAAGTCAACCTCAGCTAAATGACCCAGCAGCAGAGAGGGGGGATGAGAAATACCACTGGGGAGGCAGGAGATTGAGCATGATAGAAGAAGAGTTACCATGCTGCTATTAGCATCTAGTAAAACCTCGAGCCCAGAGCTCCCTGCATGGCTTCTCCGTTGTCCCTTGGGTCACAGGAAAGGAGGTGGCACCTGGGCCTAACAGAGCTCATCCCATCCACTGCCACTTACTGTGGCTGACTAGATGAGCAGGTCACCATTGCGTATGCTGAACAGCCAGCCCGGGCCTGCATAGACCTGGCCCTCTGCCACTTACTCGCAAGCGGTGTGGGCTCCCAACATGTTCATGGGATGAATTAAATGACAAACAAACAGGCTGCGAGCAGATCTGATGCAGATGTCAGCCTCGGGGCCTCTGGGTACCTGGTCCCGAGACTGGGGCTGGAGTCTTCCATGCATCTGGCCCTAGTCAGACCGGCTTCACTGCCTGGTGGAGCAAGGCTGTTCTCTGACCCTACTCTGGAAGCCCTTCCCCATCCCCCCTTTGGAATCTATTTATTATTTACAGCTGCTCCAGGAGATCTGCCAGGACACCTCCTGCAAGATTACGGCTCCTGCTGGTTCAGTGAGCCTGCCAGAGATAAAATAGAAAGCAGAGCTTTGAAAGGAACAAGGGGACAGCCAAAAGCAGTCCTTCTATGACCTGTGCATGTTTGGCAAGCTGGGTGTGGGACACAGGAATGCCCTAGGCCAGACCCCCACCTTGGGAGTCTTACCAGGACAGGGGCCAAGAAGATAGAGAACATTCGATAGCACTTGCTCTGTGTTAAACTTGCCTACAACACCCCCACATACACAATGCATCATCACCACCATCATCACCGCCATCCTCATCACCACTATCCTCATCATCACTTCCTCAGCGCCAGGAGCCGCAGGAAGGAAGCGAGAGCACAGAGAACTCCCGTGAGTTCTCCAAGGCCACACAGCTGAAAGTGTCCCGGGGCAGGAATTCAGCCCAGTGCTCTTCAGGTAGCACTGGTCGGTCCATCAATCTCACGGGAGCAGCACCGGCTGTGATGACAGCCAGAGAGCCAGTCCTGAATTCCAAGTCGTGAGAGACTCCTAAAAGGTGAGAGGCTCTCCGGGCCTGCCTTGGGGTACTGACGGTATAGCAAGGCCAATCGCTAGGGAATAAGACGGGGTGAGACCTGAAAGTCAAGCATGGGGGATACTGAGGCAGCCGTCAGGAGCCGCATACTAGGACCAGGCTGTTGGAGAACGTAGTAGGAGGAGAAGTTGAAGGAAACTGTGACACCTGCCATTCACTTGGGTCAAAGGCCCACCTATGCCCAGGGCTTGGTTCCAGAACTTATACTCAGGAAACTGCTCCCTGTTCACACTTAAATGCTTGCCAGATATCTGTTCTCTGGGCCTCAGTTTCCCCAAAGATAAGAGTGTTTCAGTGAGCACTTCTAAAGAAACAGCTGCTGGGGAGTTGATGGAGGCCCGGGACAGTCAGTTACCGCAGCTGGAGGGCACAGAGATGGCTGATCCTAGGGATGGGGAGCTGAGTCAGAGGGGGCAGAGACGGCCAGCCCATGGGAAGAGAGCCGAGAGACAGAAGGGGGCCTTCCCGCCCTCCCTCCGTCACCCTGACCCCTCGCAAAGCCCCACACTGTGTCCAGCATCCCCACATCCAGCCTGCACCCTCCGGCTTCCCCCCTCCTGCCCTGAGAGCCTGAGCCCTCTGGAGCATGGAGGATGCTGGGTGAGAATTCACCCCCCCCATGTGGAATCAGTCCCGGGACTTTCCCTTTAAGAACTGTCAGAGCAGGCAGGGAGGCTGGCCAAGCTGGGCTGGAGGTGGGGACAGAGGGAAGAAAAAGAGAGAGGGAGAGAAGCAGGAAAAGTTTTTTTAGAGGGAAACGCAGGGCTAGTCTGTTGGCCTGACGTCAGATGAGGCTTTCATAACCCCCCGGGGGGTGCCGAGGAAGGCTCTCTGCCGCTCTCCGATGGGCCAGCCCAGTCCTGGCCCAGCTCCCCCGAGAGGCATCTGCATTCTCTGGGCTGAAAGGTAGCTCCTGTGCCACTGACTTCCAGGCATGAGGTGTCTCCCGCCCTGGACGCTGGCAGCTGTGGCAGTCCTGGTGGCGGGCAACGTCCTGGCCACGGTGAGTCCTGCCTGGAAAGGATCAGCAGCAAGGGGACCTGACCCCTTGCTGCCTGGTGCTGAGGCCAAGGGACTGGGGGTCAAGGCAAGATGGATTGGGATGGCGGAGAGAGAGGGGAGAGGGCTGCTGGGATGAGAAGAAGCTGGTGGGGACAGGAGTGGGGACAGGGGTAGCAGTCTCAAGACAGCCAGCCTGCTTTCCTCTGTTTCATACAGGGCACTGGGGATCAGCACCCGGGACCGGCTGGGTGATCTGGGGTGGATCACTCACCCATTCAGAACAGCATAGGATGAGGGGGTTGTTGGGGGGCATCCAGAGCCTGAGAGTGTGAAAACCCCAGGACTCTGGGCATCCGAACACCCAGGGGGAGAGGTACTGGGAAACCCCAGGAAAAGCCAGGAAGGGGCATGCCTGCTTTCGGCAAATTCCTGCTGAGCAAGCCGCGCTTCCTTCGTTTGGGTGTTTTCGAGCTGCACTGGTCACCACCTGGAGGTCCTGTGACCCTCCGTGGTTTGCCCAGCGAGTGTGTCCCAGAAGGCACCTGCAGGGTTCTCTCCCACCTGGGTGCAGAGGGAGGTTCAGAGGTCTGCACCCTCAAGAACCAGGGAGGGAGACACGTGGCAAGTGGGCAGGCCGCCGGAGCAGAGCCGGGCGGCTGGGCAAGAGGACAGGCAGCTGGGAGATGGGCGGCTGGGCAGGCTGGGCAGGCTGGGCAGAGGTGAGGCAGCCTGGGGCAGCAGGGTGAGCTGCTGGGTAGCTGCGGAGTGGGAGCCCCGAGCCAAGAGACATGGGAGCTGTGACGTTGTTGTCATGGAATCACACCGAGGATTTTTAGTGTGGGGGGTGACCACCATGCCTATTCAAGGTCAGGGTTCAGCTACCTGCCTTTGAGTATTGCAGCTCAGAACTAGGCCTGGCTGGGACTGGATCATAGCACCTTGAGGTGTTGCAGGCAGAGAAGGAACCTGTCCAGTTTGCACCCAAGTCCTCCATCTCTTGCACGGTGGTTGCTGGTGCCAGCATCTAACCCTACAAAAAAAATCCCAGCGTAGCCAGAAAGAAACAGAGGTTTGGAGTGACTTGGGACTTACCCGGGGTCACAGTCAGACCTTTGGTGTCACATCCTCGGCAGTCAGTCCTCCCAGAATTTCCTAGTCTGGAGCCCAGGAAGGAAAGAACTAGGCCTGCCTGGGCCTCGGATGGGACTGGGTACAAGCCTGCAGGTGGCTGGGCCTGGGAGGGCCGGGTGTGGATGGAGAATTGGTAAGACGGCAGTCAGAGTCAGGGTGAGGGGACGAGGGAAGCTCGTGACAAGTTCTGCGTGGCCGACTGGGGCATGTTCACTTGCCACTTGGGCTGCTGCGGCCGGAGGACAGTGGGGGCAGAGTTGTTTTCGGTGGATCCCAGCAGAGAGATCCAGAGTCTGGAAGGAGCGGGCAGAAGCAGGGAAGGAGAGCGCTTCCAACAAAAGCTCCCGGGCTACCCACCCCATCCTCCTAGGGTACTCGAGGCCTCTTCATACCAAGGTCTGGATTCCCAGGGTGTCCTCACAACCCCTGTCCCCTGGCACAGGACGGCAAAGAGCTGGGCCCTGCCCAGAATCCAGTGCCTGGCCTCGTGGCCAAATTCCACACATGGCATCCTCCAGAACGAATACAGAAAGGGAGTTCAAATCCAGCAAGGGGTCAGGGGCCCCATGGAAAGAATGACACTCACTGGCCATATGGAAGGGAAAGTATGTGGGAAGTGACGATTGCCAAGAAGACTCTGAGGAAGTGGGCTGGGCGGCAGCCGCCGTCTGATGTGCAGGCAGCACGGTGGGCCATTGGCAGGAGCGGGAGGCCAGCTGGGGAGGGGACATCATAAGTCGGGGAGGCAAATCCTGAGCTCAGATCCAAGCCCAGTACGGAACGTACGGCAGTGCTGGGGTTGACACTCGGCGCGAATAGCAGTTTATGTCATTTCTTTCCTTTGTCTTGCAAGCGTTAAGTGCCCACCTCTAAGAGGAAGCTGGCAGAGTATGTGAGCCTGCACAGGGACCGTGTACCTGGTAACACCCACCCATGTGTCATGCCCGTGTGGAGAGAACAGACTTGACTCAGTACAACCAACATCTATTGATGCTCAGCGTCGTCTGAAATCCCTGTCATAATAATAAGAAAAGGTAACCATCCCTCTTTGCAGATGCCAAAACTGAAGCTCAGAGAGGTTAGGTAAACTTCCCAAGGCCACACAGCTAATAGTCCATGGACGTGACATTTGAACCCAGGAGGAGCAGCATTCTTCAGTGAAGTCTTATGCTGCTCTGAGTCCTTGCAGAGAAACTGAATACATACAGGCCAGACCCCAAAAATAGTTAGCAGGTTGGTGAGGCTGCAGGCTGGAGAAATCCACTCGCGTGCTGGAGTGAGAGAGGACAAGGCAATGTCTTCCCGGATAAACAGGCTGCCACTGGCTGTGTCTTCTCACCCTGTCCATGTGTGGGCTGTGCACACAATTGTGTTGGCGGGGGGCAGAGGTAAGGGAAAGAGCTCATTGTTTGGGAAGGGAATGCAAATTCATTCTCTGTTCCCAAGAACCCATTACAGAATGCCAGGGACCTGGGCATGGGATGAAATCTTTCTTCTAAATGAGAAAGCAGCAGGGCCCAGTCTCCACAAACCTAGGCACAGTGCAGCCCTGTGAATCAACAGCTCTGCCCATCCCCATCCACCCACCCCTGATCGGAGCCCTGTGGGTGCCTTTAAGTCCCCGCCTGGCTCAAGCCCACCTCGGGGCTTGTCAGGGAGCTACTGAACGCTACTGACAGTCAGTTTGACACCCGGAGTATGGCATTTGTCCAGAGATGGGTCTCAGAAGGGCTGCCCCGTCCTAGCCTGGACAGACTTGTGCCCCACGTATGTGCTGGGCAGACCTCTGGTCCAAACACACACAACACACAGGCAGGGTTTAGGGACAGCTCCCTCTAGGACGACTGAACAGGTAACTGCCAAGGGTGCTTGGGACCTGGTGCAGACACCAACTCTAAAACCTGCTGTGATGTCCCACTGTCTCCCCACAAGACCCACCCCAGAACGGCTCCACTGAGAGCAGGGGAGGAGTCACAGTCATGACTTGGCCACCACAGTCATAGAAGCCATGCAGTGTCTCAGAGTTACACTTTGGCATGTGAGCTCTTATGGTCAGCATACTACGGACACCCCATTCGCCAGCCGCAGGAAGAGGCCCACTCAGTTCTGGCATGTAGCTTTAGCCTCCGTGGAGACCCACACATTGGAGCACTGCCCACCGAGAAGACAGAGTGCTACAGTCCAGACCCTCACGGCCCTTTGCAGCCTCTGGGCCCCTGGAGCCGTGATGAGTGTTCCGTTGGATTGCAGAGCTCAGTGGAGACAATGCAGGGTTAGCAGACTCTAATTCCTACCCTCACCCTTGTTGACAGTGTTTTGAGTTCAACAAAACACACAATGGACACCAATTTCTCTTGCTTCTGATTCCTTCTGATGTAACTACTAGAAAATTCTGTCTGTGTCTGGCAAACGGACTCAAAAGTACAGTGTTTGGTGAGGAAGGATCCTTTGGGAGGGTTCTGAGTTGGGCATTGTCCCTTTAAAGGGGAAAGTGTCCCTTTAAATGTTCACACTAGACTCCAGGGATGGTGGGAGGGTGGAAGAGAGAGACGGAAGGCATAGAGAGCATAGACACACACACACACACACACACACACACACACACACACACACACACACACAGGGCCTGCCCATCGTCCCAGCCGCTGTGCTGGATCCCAGGCGTACAGGCCCAGGTTTCAGGCAGGCACTAAGGGGACTGAGCGCACTATCATACCGCGCATGTGCAGAGCAGGGCAGGGTCTGCTCTCCAGGGCTCTGTGCAGCGAACCTTCTAAAGGCTGTTAGCCAGGTCTCCCGCCCTGGGAGCGAGGTCAGTGAGCACACCAGGGCTCTGTGCAAGAGAGGAAATCTGGTGAGCCCCCGCCGCCGCTACCGCGGTAATGCAGGTAACGGCGGTGACAGGGATGGGCTGGCACTGGTGTCGTGATGATGGTGAGGTCGTGACGGCAGAGGTCGTTAAGATGAACGATGGTGGTGGATTAAGGTGTTGATGGCACTTACGGTGATGGCAGAGATGGTGGTGATAATGGTCATGGTGATGGTAACACCGAGGATGCCTGTAGGGTTGTGTGTGTGTCTCAAAAAAGAAAAGACCTGCGTGGGTTCTGCGTTAGATTCCTGAGAAAGCAAGGCGCCTGCCTGGGAGATGGTTTCCTGATAACTCAAGTTTGCTTTGGACTTTCAAACAGTGGATGTGGTGAACCATCCTCTGCTCCCACACCGATATCCTGACACTCATCAGCCAGTGAGCCCCTTTCCCCTCCTCTACCTCCCTCCTCTTCTCCAAACACTCAAAGGAGGAGGCTGGAGGGAGGAGGAAACCAGGCCTCTGAAAGGGGATAATGGGCATTCCAGGGATGAGATTTGATCTCAGCCCGCCCACCAGTCTGGATCCTGAGACAAGTCCAGGCGATGATGATTCCACTGTTGCAGATCTGCTGGGGGCAGGGGGTGGGGAGGGCAGAGGCAAGGCTCTAAGGGCTCCTCCAGGGACTGCCTCTAGTCTATGAATGAGGAGGAGGAAAGTGGGCTGTTAGCCTCCCCAGGGCTAGAGAGTTTGGGGGGATGGGTGGGGATCTCACAGGATAAAGGAATACTTAAGAAAGCTGAATTAACCCTGTCCTTGGTAGAATGGTAGACTCGCTGAATAGCTGTGTGACACTAGACCCACCGCTTCCCTCCTTAAGTTCACTTTTCTCATCTTGAAAGCGAGCAGAGGTTGGACTTGACTCTTAGACTTGCTTCATACCGAAGCTGCTTAGAAGCCTCACGTTCATGCCTGGGCTGGGGCCACCACTGAACAAGCTACACTGGCTAATCTTCATGGATGTGGGGGCAGGGAGTGGGAGGTTGGGGGGGTGCTGCCTTCCTGCAGAGAGCTGCTAATCTTGCTGCCAAAACCGATGTGTCCCTGTTCCAAGAAGTCCCGTTGGTCCTTGTTCCTCTCTCCAGGTCCCAGGGCTGTTTCTCCAGTCTTAGTCTTGTTTGCAAACCCACCGCTATTCCCTGTCATCCTGACCGACCACAGCTATCCCGGCCTGACCTTGGGGGTGGGGGGAAATCTCACCATCTTGGTAGGCACAACGGGGCCCTTAACCAGCTCTCCCTGCCCATCCATGTTTCTGAGACTCACCCTTCATGACTCCCTTGTCCACTTTAAAAACCATTTCCTGAGTCATTTCCCCGTCCTCCATTCTCCATACCTCCCCTGGCTATTATTCCATCCCAGCCTGTCCGTCCCATGCCATGAGGGGCACTTACTCGGGACACCTCCAAGAAACCGTTCTCACGTCTCCCAAGTAGAGCTACGGACATCGCGATAGAGCATACCCTTGTCGAGTGGAAGGGATCACATCACCCAACTGGCCCCACCTTACGGAAGACACCCTGTGCTCCACAGAGCTCAACACCTCTTAATTCCCATCCCTGAGCCACCCCGACCCCTCAACCCTGGGCTTTGCACACAGGCCTGGCTCGTGTTAGGTTCCTTCCTGAACTGGAATGCCACCTACTGGTCTGTTGTGGGCTATTCTGGTACACTGTAGGTGTTGGGGGGCAACTTCGCTGTGACTCGTGAAGCCAGGCCAGGCCTGGTGGGGGCAGGGCACATTGTGTATGGGGAGGGTGGACAGAAAGGGGCCACCAAGGACCTTTCTAAAGTGGAGGTGGCTTGCTGGGGAGGGGCGTGGAATGTTGAAAGAGGACCTGACCCACTAGCTAAGAGGCCCAGGAAACAATTAGAGCCTCCAGACGTGGTACCAAATCAAGAGTATTGAACTTAGCAACCCACCTGCCTCCGCCTCCGAGTGCTGGGATCAAAGATGTGTGCCACCGCTGCCCGGTTTCATTGTGACGCTTCTTCAAGCTGCTGGAAGAAACCACCTCTGGCCTCAGCACAGAAGCCCTGAGGTGGCCGTAGGCAGGCTGTGGCTGCCCTTGCTCTTCCCTTGGTCATTTTCACTCTTGTCTCCTCAGAAGGAAGGGACTAGAGCTTGTGTGAGCATGTATCACTGTACCTGCAGGTTAGTAGAAGCTCTGAGTACGCTGTCCTTTGTGTTTGACACTAGGTACTGATATACATCCCAGGCTAGCCTAGAGAACTCCAGGCTAGCCTAAAACTCACGATCCTTCTGTTTCTGCCTCTCAATAGCTGTGTTCCCAGTACCGTTTGCCTTGCCTCTGTGTACATCTGAAGGATAAATAAATATACCAGGTGGTGGTGGTGCACGCCTTTATTCCCAGCACTCGGGAGGCAGAGGCAGGCGGATCTCTGTGAGTTCGAGGCTATGCTGGACCGACAGCCTCCAAAACAATACAGAGAAACCCTGTCTCATAAAAACCAAAAAAAAAAAAAAATGCTTGCTTCTAGTTTGGAAACATCTATATCTCTAGCCCCCTTTATCCTCTCCACACAAAACTGCCTTGTCCCGCTAGAGGCTTCCAAAGTGCAGTGTGTAAAATTGACGGGAAGAAAATGACAGTCTTCCACATTGCTTGTCCTGACCCCTAGCCAGCTGGAGGGAAAACTTGGGACAACTTTGCTCCCTGAGAGCCCTCCTGAATGTGCAACCTGGGGAGTCCAAGGCTTGCTGAGAGGGGAAAGGACCATCCCCTCATGCCTAGCTCAGGCCTGCAAAGCTTGGAGCCAAGGTCCTCCCACACAGTGGTCTAGGGGAACAGATGCCCAAAAGGTCCCAGGAAGCCCCGGGAAAGCGGCACCATCCAAAGGACCAGGAAAGCAACAAGGCAGTGGCAGTCACGGGCTCCTGTAGTGCACGCCACAGCCTGGAGCCAGGCCCACCTGTCTCTCACCTCCCCCAGAGAGTCTCTTTTCAGCCCCTGCTTCTAGCAGGGAAGACTCCCTCCAGATCTCTGGTCATTAGAGTGTGCGCTACCATTCCTGCCTCGACACTGACCCCTGGTGGAACATGTAGGCACAGCATCTCAAAGGCTTTGACCAGGCTCTCCACCTTCCCCTGCTTTTCCTGAGCATCGCCCAAGTGCACCCTGGAACCTGTGGGCACTCAGGAGG